TCTCGAGGGAAATTAAGGGTTTAGGGTTCAGGTTTTATTGCAGTCTTGAACTCCAAATTCCAAGCCCAACACGAAAGAAGCTCAGCCACAATCCTTTGGTCGAGTTCTTCCAACATCCTCCCTTCGCTGACTCCGCCAAATCCCCAATCTCCCAAGCCGGCTCGAGGAGTGACTATAGGGGTTACGGGTTCAGGTGAAGGTTGTAGTGTTTTTAAACCCGAAAACCAATCTCTACAGGGTTTGGGGTTTAATTGGGGTTTAGGGTAGTGCTTTAAACCCGGAAGCCAATCTCTACAGGGTTTGGGGTTTAATTGGGGTTTAGGGTAGTGTTTTAAACCCGAAAACCAATCTCTGCAGGGTTTGGGGTTTAAAGTGTAATTGGGGGTTAGGGTAGGGTTTGGGGTTTGATTGGGGTTTAGGGTAATGTTTTAAACCCGAAAACCAATCTCTACAGGGTTTGGATTCTATTTGGGGTTTAGGGTAGTGTTTTAAACTCGAAAACCAATCTCTACAGGGTTTGGGGTTTAATTGGGTTTAGGGTAGTGTTTTAAACCCGAAAACCAATCTCTACACCCTTGTGTTTGCATATGCTCTGTGATCAGAGAGGGCGGCGAGTTCTTCAAGCATCCATGGCCCTCAGTCGTGCCAACCCGCGCGGCCTCTTTACCTGCAGAACCGCGCGAATCGAAACATCCGCGTGAATGGCGATGCTGTTGATGGCATGGTGAGACAGTTGTTCCGAAGGCTTTGAAGCTATTGGTCTTTGACACCAGCCTGAACAAGACTTCAGACCTGTTTTGCAGGGCTTCCATTCAAGTCCCCTGCCCATCCGGGACTCCTCCATCCTTCAATCCTGTGCCAATAAACGACTGCCATCATACCCAGGGTTCTTGTTGCTCTCAACCAAACATTGCTACTAGACGTGCTGCAACTTAATGTCATTGTCACTGTCACTGTGTCTCCATCAACCCTCGTCCCAAACCCCAAACCCTGAACCCTAACCCCCCTAAACCCTAAAACCCAAAACCTCCGAGCTCAACTTCCAGCGGCCTACAGCCCCAGCATTCCACAGTCAGATCTTACACCATCTTTCAAGAACCACCCTTAAAGGAGCCCTGAAGGAGCCTTAGAGGAGCCCTCAAAGCAACCCCACACAATTATCCTCCCTCCTCCTGCCTGCGGCTGCGCCAGTTGTGTTGCCTCCGGCAGTTCTGGCGTAGAAATGCGATCTGCTGCAGTTGACATCGCCGGCAACAAACAAAAGGTTTACGAAACCCGAAACTCAAAAGCTGACCAAACCCTGAAACGCGGAACCCTACACTCCTAAAACATCACGATGACGACTCGTCTCCCAAATGAACCGTAAAACAAAACAGCAACCCCAACCCCTCTAGCACCCGGTGAAGAACACGATCTACCGTCCCCAGTCGCTGCATCTCGAGACGTCTCTGCCTCTGAAAACAAGGGTGCGTACCTGTTCCCTTTAACTCACGTCGAACGTTCAGCGTTTATGCTTCACAGAGTCCATCGGCCTGGTTGTGAAGGAAGGCCACGTGCTGCAAGCCTCGTGACGCGACCTGGGCAAGAGAGTGTTTAGGGCTGAACGTCTAAGATCTCGAGGTTTGGCTTGTGGGAACTGACGGTTTGCCAGCGCTTTCCAAAGCCGAAGTCGTCGCTATGTAGAACTGAGCAGAGCCCCCAAAGCCCTATCCCGAGATCCTGAACACCATCCTTCCCAAATGGTCCCATCCGTGCACCTGGTGGCAATTGCATGACGTTGCGAGGGACCCCGGGGGTACAGAAAAATGTTCCGGCAGAGGCTTCGGGATGAACTCCAGATTTCGGTTGGATGCCTTGCCCTCCTGCGCTGTGAGCCATGTCTCCGAGCTTATAGACCCTTAAAGAGGCCAAGGGCCGCAATACACCCCACACCCCCGCACAAGCCTGATCCGATGCTTAACCGCCTCAGCCCTAAACCCTAAACCCGTTAGGTTCAGGGTTTAGGGTTTAGGGTTTAGGGCGTTAAACCACTACCTCAAAAAAACAAAACAAGGTCCAGGGCGAGCATAGACGACCCAGAAGCCCATCAGCAAGTCTCTAGAGCCTCCAGGTCCTCCCGATAATAAGACAATTAAACGAATAGCAATAGCAATATAAGAATACTAGCAAGACTAACCCTAAACCCTAAACGGTAAACCCTAAACCCTAAACCGCAATCATAATAACAGCAATAATAATGATACTATTTGTAGTAATAACCATAATAGTAGCTGCGGCGCACGCTTGTGTTGTTTCTCCTTCGGAGGCTTCATGTGGCTCGGCAATACGACAAAGTCTAGATTTGCGGATCTGTGGTATAGTGCATACGAAACTGCAAAGCATAAGGTTTGGGTGGTGGTTTCTGTGTAAGGCAACACAAGTTAATATAGGGGCCTTCATAATTAGAATGGGGTTTTGGGGCCCATTCAACTATAATTATAATAAGGAACCCCCCAAAATAATATAGGTAATTATTTAGGCCCCTACATTATTTTAGCCTTGAGCTGAGAGTTGTATCCATTCTGAGGATCCCGCGAGACAGGTGTGCCTGCCAGGGTGGGCCTGGGGAGCCACGAGATGGCTCCAGTAAAGGACACTGTCCAAGGTCTGAGGGGTTTAGGGGTTTAGGGTTTAGGGGTTTAGGGTTTAGGGGTTTAGGGTTTAGGGTTTGGGGTTTAGGGTTAGTGATTAGGGTTACGTTGAAGGAGTTATTGGGCCTGCGTACCAGTATGAAGCTGCAGCAGGCTTAGATATTAACCATCGCGTGATGAGCGCGGGGGACTGTAGCAGGGAGGCTTCCGAGCAGGAATGGGCTTAACGATCTTGAACCCTAAACCCTAAACCCTAAATCCTAAGTCCTAACACTATAAACCCTAAATCCTAAACCCTATAAAACCTGTGTCAATTGCCCTGCAAGGCCTCACGTCGTATGCATGCGCTGTTAACACCTCTCCTCACATGCCCGATCAAAGCAAGCACATCCAAAGTTAAACAATGTACCTCGCCCAGGCCGTGCGTCCTTCCCCACACCCTGAATGCGTGAAGTCACTTTCGAATTTGTCAGACCTGACGAAGGCAAAACTGTCAGGATCATGAGTGACGCCAAGGTTTCCTCTATCCACCGTCGTCGATATATGGCCATATAGGGCCCTACGCCCTCAACATTGCGAAACACTCATCCCTAGAATTCGCTGGGTTCAACCATCCCTAAACCCTAAACCCTNNCCTAAACCCCCAAACCCTAAACTTAACCATGTTCACTTTCGAAGCAATGCAGGCCCAGCCTCTTGAAAGGAACCCTGCACTTTGCCCCAAGCCAGGCTGCGCAGGGCGGGAGGAAGCTAGGGCCATACGGTTGTAGGGCTTTGGGGTCGGCTCGGTCTTGGGGATGTATAGCTAGACGCTTGTTGGGGTTTAGGGTTTAGGGT